GTTTTTTTTATTTTGTTTAAGTCTGAATCTTCTAGTGATATGGTCTTTTTTATCTGATTCTGTATAACTTTCAATCAATTTTTTATAATAGTCTATTTCGTTTAAAATATTATTGTAAGAATTCATCATTTGAAAACGTTTTTGTGTAAATATATTAGAACTAATATAAATTATAAAAATATAGAAAGATGTTTAAAAAAAAAAATCTGATAATTAAAATGATTTATATCAACCAGCATTGTGTATATTTAATGTTAGCTAAGATGGTTGTATTTTATATATTATAATAATCAAGTTTTTATATTATGCTATTCTATAATTATAATCATATACATACTGTATAAACTTGTTTTTTTTAAACATAAACTTAATAACTTTTTAACCATGTATAATATACATTATAATATATATAGATATTTTAATCGGTCAACCTTCTAAATTTTAAAAACATTTTAATAAAATAAATAAATTATAAATACTTTGTACATTTAATATTGATATTTCTGATAAAACTATTGAATATCGATCCGTTATAATCACTTACCTAAACGTTTATGCTATGTTATGTTTTTTACTATCGTGTATTATTTTTTTCGTTTTTAAAAACTAGTAAAGATGTAAAGAGTTTTAGATGGTTTTTTTAAAAAAAATATATATAAATAATGAAATAGGTAGATGCTTACGTAGATAGCTGTTCGGTTAAAGTATTTTCCAATGTTAATGATGCCGGTACTGGACTGGTAAACTATGCAGGATTGAAGTATTTTCAATGTTCGATGGTAAATTCCTGTTGATGATGTTGATGGTAGACTGTTATACTTTATAGGATTGAAGTATTTTCAATGTTCGATGGCGAATGTCTGTTCCTTGTTGTTGCTGGTGGAGAACACAAGCTGAACTGATATCGTTTGAGTGGCAAATTCTGGGTTATATAGTCGAGAATCATCTCCTACTTTTCTAGTTGTAGTTTAAAACTCACATTATATTCAAAGAAATCGTGTAACCTGTTAATGTAATATTAGTTTTAAAAACAACTAAGTTATTTTGTAGTAATAGTAATTATAGTATTATAGTATATAATGTATGTATTGGTGTTGACCATCGTCCGGAATATTCATTTAAAATAGCTAGGTCAAATTTTGGGCGTTGTCTGAATAAAAAACTAGTATTAATAAGAGGTCATATTATAACCGTTGACGGAATAAAACTAATATTAATAAGAGGTCGAATTAAGGGCGTTGGCTGGTTTAATATATCCGATAGCATTGCTTTGAATATTTCACATTTCAAAGTTACTATGGTAGTGGAAACATTACAGTATATAAGGCTAGCGTATCGACAGCAATATTACAGTCAACATCCAGCAACTGGAACTTCGCAGTCAACATCCAGCAACTAGAACTTCTTCGCCCTCTTCATCAATTCAACATTCAATAATATTCAACGATGTCTTACAGAACTTCGATTGTCGATTCTGGATCAGAGGTTAGTAAATGAATTACTTTAATAACTAAAGCAAATTGTAGGCCAGTCGTAAAACTACTCAACGCGGTTATAATTCCAATCTATAGGACGGTATTTATATGACAATAGTGTAATAGTCAGAGTATTCCGGCATTGCACTGATCATACATCCGTCTCAGTTAATGGGGCAATAGTTAGAGTATTCTGGCATTGCACCGACTGACATACCGTTCGATAGATTCAATTCTCAGTCGTGAATAGGCCAGTCGTAAAACTACTCAACGCAATGGTTATAATTCCAATCTATCGGACGGTATTTATATGACAATAGTGTAATAGTCAGAGTATTCCGGCATTGCACTGATCATACATTCGTCTCAGTTAATGGGGCAATAGTTAGAGTATTCTGGCATTGCACCGACTGACATACCGTTCGATAGATTCAATTCTCAGTCGTGCAATTCTGTGGTAAACCACTCATACATGTATAAAAAAAACAATCTGTTAATATAGCAAATTTAATACTATAAGTTTTTTTTATAGTACGAATTTAACGGATCTGTAGATATGAAAATGAAACCTTCCACTTCAAAGCAAACTAAAACAGCTCTCAAAAGAGGGGCTGAAAAATTGATTGACAAGAGAAATAACAAAAAGATTAAACAGACAAAAACAGTAAGATAAATAATTATTTATAATCTTAATACTTTTATCTAATATTCTAAGGTGATGAATTATAGCATGAATTTATTTATTTATTTTTTAGAGTTCATCTTACAGGGAAATCTTTGAGGAGAAATTGCGGACTGAAGATTTCGATGAAGAAATCATCAATTCGGTAACCTTCCGGCAGGGAGATGGTTTGGCTACCATCAAAAGTCAGTTTAATCCAGAAGAGAAGGCAACCGACTATTGGACAATAACACACTATAAGTGTAAGAACATAAACAAAATTCCATCAAAGGAGAGGTAAATACTAGACTTTGGTTTACTTTTTAATAAAAAAACTATTGCTTATAATAAAAAATAAATCAACTGTTTCTATTCACTGTTCACTGAATAATTAATTTATGTTACAGGTGGCGTCACTCTGAGGCATCTGTTAAGATAACAACTTCTGATAAATCAAAAGACCAAACTTTAAATACAAGTTTGAATGAGACCATGCAGGTCATCTTCGACGTGATTTTGAAGGATCCAGAACGTCGTACGATAAAAAGTAATTTAGCATTATGAGTGTAATATTCTAAAAAAATATTTTTTATTTAATAAATAAAACATTACATAAATATAAATGAATTTGTATTATATTACACTATTAAGTCCTGTAAAATCATGTCAGACATTGCGTTAAAATGAAATTGTAATATTTCGTACAAAAATGAAGTGTCGTCGTTTTGTAGATGAGAATAATAATTAAAATCATAGTTTTGTATATACTGGTTTGTGAATTCGTTCCTCTGACAACTGATGGGCAAACCTCGGACATCGTTTTTAATCAGCTCATAAGCTGCATCAAATGTTGCTTGAAAACTCTGTAGACGTTTCTGTTTTTCTGCGATATAAAGGTCCACACAATGCTGAAGTTGTTTAAGTCTACAGAAATCTATATGTGAGAGTGTAATATAATCATCATTTATATGTAAGGTTATTGAACTCTGCTTCACATTAATTGAATATGTGAAATTCTCGGTGATTCTTACACGTCTACACCTGGTATGTAAGTTGTTAGTAATTGAAGTGTAATTAGATTCAGACATAAGCGTACACCATTGCTCTAAATTTAATGTAATAATTTTTTTCGTTAACTTGCACTCTAATAACACAATAATCGAAATTTGTTTGCTGATTAATAGGCCGACTGTAACACTCTTCTTACCAAATGGACGTATGTCAAATACCGATTTTGACACAATTACCGGTAGACCCATAACGAATTAATGTTATTTTTTTAAATAATTAAATAACCTTTCAAACTATAAACGTAATTATTTTTTTAAAATTGATATAAAGTTTTTTTTTTAAATATTTAAAAAAATCTTTCAAACTATAAACGTAATTATTTTTTTAAATTTGATATAATATAACCGATGGGAGATATCCTTTGAACTGAAAGCATTTTTACTTTGTGAGCGTATTATATACTAAACCTGATAGATAAAAAAAAAAAAAAAAAAAAAAAAAAAAAAAATGTGAGCGTACAGTATAGTCGACTACTGCATGCAGTGGAGGGGAGAATTACATATTATACTTACCTGATACCTGAAAACATTTAAATTAACACTACACGCAGTAATCCACTAGACCACACGCTCACGAGATATTACATCAAATAATAACACATATAAGTTGTTTTAAAAAAAATCACCATTTATTTTTATTTACTATAACATGATTAGCATACATTTAAATTATTTCTACACACACTAACCTCATTAGTCTATACGATCGTGAGATATTAAATCAAATATTAACACATATAATTTGTTTTTTAAAAAAAAATCAGCATTTAATTTTATTTAGTGTAACATATAATAAAAACATGATTAGTCAACAGTAAAAAAAAAATCAACATTTTATTTTTATTTACTATAACATAATATAATAAAAACTTGATTAACAAACAGTATCGTATGATTCAGATTCACAACTGTGAATATGTTCGGTTTTACAGTATTTACTTAATACATTTTGAACATACTGATTACCCTTCATTAATAATACATATAAACATCTTGGACTGAATCTGCAATGTTCAATCCATGGGTCGTCCAGCCTTTCCCAGTTATGAAGAATAAGACCACAACAAAAGCATTCCACGACATCATCCACTCCTGAATATTTTAAGCCACATTCGGACAATGTATATTTATTTTGAGAAGTATTTAACGGGAATAATTTGAATGTTTTAAATCTTGATGCAAACGATGAAAATTTTGGATGAGCCATGGTCGGATTATTTCGTATACGATAAACTAATGATTCAAAATCATTCGGACATTTTTGAAAATTCATTTTTGGAGAAATTAAATAACTTATACAATGTAATAAAACTTCAAGAATATAAAGAAAAATGAGACACGACTTAAGTGAACGGCGGATCATTAGTAACTGAATATGAGAAAATGATCAGCTTATAACTAAAAATTGTATACATTTTTTAGAAAAATACTGACATTCATTAATTAGATCAATTGCAGTGCAACCAACATAAATGTAAATGCGAATATAGTAATTATTATTTCATTTTAGTAATAAGGTTTGTTGAGAAAAAAACATTTAGTGTGTACACGGTAAATATTTGGACAAAACTGACTTTGAGTGTGCAAACTCTTCATAATTTTTACACGGTAAAATTATTGTGTCCAAGGGGGACATCCTCCCTTGGACGGTGTGAAATTACCGTGTAAAAAGTGTGTAAATTCTTCATAATTTTTACACGGTAAAATTATTGTGTCCAAGGGGGACATCCTCCCTTGGACGTTGTGAAATTACCGTGGTGACACAAAAAAAGACTGTGAACATACAAATCTATACTACTTACCTACATTATATCCATGACTTACTTCGTCGGTGTCACTTTCAATATCCAAAATGTTTCGTGTGGTCTTTATTAAGTTATCAAGTTTCTGCGCAGTATTATCTTCTAATAATTCAATTTTTTTCTGCGTACCCTCTAAATCTATTGTCTATAAAAAAAATATTTTTTATTATTTCATCAGCTACCTACGTCGATCGTAACCAAATTTAAAAAAATTCCTAAAATTGGTCGTACAATATAAAGCTTGGTACCTCTGCCTTATATCATTAATTCTACTCACTTCAGTATTGAGTACTTGTACTTCTACGTCCTCATCGTTTCGATATTCCGGAGTGGTGGGAGTAGATGTAGTCAATGGATCCAAAAGCATGTCCAACATATCTTCTTCTAGCGTTCCTGTCATTATATTTTCCAAGACTTCACGAGGTACTTTTGTTGCCAGTCCCATTCGTGCTTTTTGACCAAAGACTGATTCATATGGAGTCATTTTTATAGCTTCGTGGTATGTGGTATTAACGCCCCATTGTACAAAGGCGAGGCCGTAACTCCATGCGGCAGTTTTGTTGTCTCGCATCCACGCCACCAGCGAATCCTTCAGTGTACAATTACCTCTTTCTACAGATCCTTGGCTTTGTGGATAACGTGGCCGACCATTTACTAGTATTAAATCTGGCCACAATGACGCTAATTCGGTTATAATACCGGCAGTGAATTCGCGACCATTATCGGACTGTAGAACGTGAGGTGCACCAAACGTCAAAAATATGTGTAACAGTTCTTTTGCCACTTCCGAAGCCTTTTTGCACTTCAGAGGCAGGAAAAATGAAAACTTTGTCAAGTGTTCTTTGTAATGAAGAATAAATTTAAAATCACCGTCAGGTAAACTTTGAAAGTCGACAAGGTCCACTTGACCACGTTCATTTAAAGAAGAAGATAAAATAGGCCGCACAACAACGCCTCGCGTACTTTTTTTTTTTATTTTTCCGCACACCTTTCACAATTAGCGATATAAGTTTTTACATCAGCCATAGTAATATTAGAGTAATGCTCCATTATTTTCTTGTGTGTTTTCGTCTCACCTTTATGTCCACTGGCCACATGCATGTCACGGATAATACTATGGAAACTGTCGACTACTGCCATAATACGTTGATCGCGTTTCCGTCGCACTCGTCGAACGCCAGCTACCTCGATTAAATCAAATTTCTCACGAACGTGATAATACCGCCTATCTTTATTTACAGAAGCGTCATCAGTTAAAATTTTTACAGCTTCAGCATCTCGTTCTGCTGTCCATTTAGAGTCCATAGTTAATAAATGTAATAATAAATATTATTATTTTATTATATTTAATTGATTATTGCAACTAATAAACGCACTTTTCGAACCGCCACACACTGTTAACTATTTCAGCAGGTGAAACGAATAACTGAACGCTGAACATGTAGGTAGGAAATATTTGTCACATTATTTTATCAAAGCAATAAAAATGCCTTAGTAAGTAAGATAAAGCCACGCCGTACGCCAGTGGGGACCTAACCATCAGTAGCGTCTACCATCATAGGTAATAAAGATAATGATGTGGTTCAAATGGGTTCAAATATTGGTTATTTATATATCTATCACTATTCTTAATAAATTATGTTTGTAATAATGTGATACCGAATTCATGAAATCGGCAGAAAAAAGTATGCCTATTTCATGAAATCGGCAGAAAAATTGCCGATTTCACGTTTTCTGCAACAACGATGCTGATTCCATGTAATCGGCAATTTTTCTGCCGATTTCATGAAATCAGCAATTTCACAAATTCGGCGTAACATATATATTATATTTAATAAGAAAAAAGTTTAATAGAAATTTCATTTTTTAGACTTGTGTTATTTATTTATATTAAATGAATAATAATTATGAAATTAAAGTATTTAATTTAGTTAAAGATAATGATATACCAAATTCACTTTTTCCAAGGCCTATGCGTTGTTTGATTATAGGTTCTTCTGGATCAGGAAAAACTAATTTATTATTTAATATTATTGTTAATTATTGGGTTCCTTTTGATAATCTTTATATTTTTACAAAAAATATACATCAGCCAATTTATGAAGGTATGAAAGAAATATTTGCATATTTGTAAAATGAGATATATAAAGAGGTAACTTCACGTGTCAGGTCTCACAGACAATAGTCATCTTACTTCACAGTTTATAGTCTGCACTATAATAAAATGATACTTAGTATAGTATTGCATACAAAATATAATACAATATAATACCAGGCATTACAAAAAAATCAACTTTAAACATAAGATCAATGAAATTAACGATGCATATAATGCATAATAATTACATTAACCTAAAAAGTAATAAGTAACAACATTACTCGGTGCCGTATAATACTCGTATATATTCGTATAACTTTTGTTTATACTTTATTTTATTATTTCATGCCTTCATGGCAGAGCAAAAATATTGTTCACATTTATATTATTACACCAGCTTACACACAGATTACAAAGTACAATGGAATATCTTATCATTAACGGATGGAAAAACCCAGCAAACGCATTGCAACTACGGAGTACGGACTCAGATAGAACCAAACCAATAGAACGGTCTAGAAATGTCGGTGGGCGAATGCGGGGTGACGGTGTGATGGCCCCCTCATGGTGTGGACTGTGGGGTAGGCTTGTGTGGGGGAAATATCGGCGAGTGCGTATGGCACTATGGCGTATCATAGTTTATAGGTCTATACTCTATGGTGAGTATTCTATCGAGCGATTACATAATATATTACGACTTACGAGTTATGATATTGGCGATTGAAAGTGATAAGATGTAACGGGGATGCTGTGTATCATTTATAATAAGTTATTTTACCAGTTCCCCGTTATAGATCCGCCCCCCCCAGGCCAGATAATTGATAAGCTTTCAATCACCACTTATGAAGAATATCGGCGTAGCGCTGAATACGAATTTGACTAAAATATTTCCCCCACACAACTCTACTCAAACACCTTAAACGCTGGTTATATTAAACGCTATTTCGGTATTCCAGTGTCCACTGGCAAGATTACTAGAATAATACTATCTTAGGTTTAGAACTTAGTCGATTGTCCACGGGTGGGTCAAATTGGCCGCGGACGTATTATATGGTATTATAGCTGTTCACGAACATAAATATTGTAGATATATATACCTATATTTATTTATATAATATAAACTTATTGTGGCGAGTGCTCACGGCTCCGTCACCATGCGTACAGCGCGTAGGTATATACTGATTATATTACAAATAAAATATATAAATATTATATTATAATGGAAAGAAAGGAAAGAACATACCTACTGGTCATGTTGAAAGTGAAGATTGGATGGACAATTATTAGTCTTCTATACTATATAAAGCGTGAACCCGAGGGCGCCGCCTATGCTTTAAATCCGAACCATCGTAAGAGAGAGCCAATGAGAAAATTCAATTTCCCCGGAGGGCGGTCTCCCGGCGGCGGCGGAGCCGTCGCTGCGTAATCAGCCTTTCTTATCACTGTTTCGAGATTTTTTCGATTTTTTCGAAATTTTTCGAAATTTTTCGAGTTTTACCCCCTCAGGAGGCCCGGGGTCTCCCCGCTGTGACCTTATTCGCGTTCCCCGCTAGATTTACAGGCCGCGCGCGGCCGTATTTTCTTCCCGGCGGGCCCGCGGCGGCCGATCTCGCGCGCGATACGAGCGCCGCCGTCGCGCGCGTTTTTCGCCGTGTTTTTCGAAATATCGAGTTTTACCCCCCTCGGGGGCCCCGGGCGTCCCCGTTCGCGTTATATTCGCGCTCCTCGCTATATTTGTAGCCGGCGCGCTATCCTACTTTTTCAAAAATATCCGACTAGACGGTCGCCGACGCCGCGGCGTCGTCACGATTTCGACGGTTTTTCCGACTTTTTCCAACAGAGTCGCGTTTCGCTTCGTTTGTAGACTTTTCACCTCCCCGCCGAACACGTATTCGAGTTCCCCGCTAAATTTATAGCCGGCCCGCAGTCCTACTTTTTCAAAAACGAGTCCCGGGGAGGAGCGGCGACGCGCAAACGAGAGTAGGTACCGAGTGGGTACGTCGTGTGTGTGCTATATACAGGCATAAATACATGCGTCTCGACGTCCGATTTTTTTCGCGAATCCCACCGAATCTCGAATTTTACCCCCCTCGGGGGCCTCGGGTCTCCCCGTTTGCGTCTTATTCGCGTTCCTCGCTAAATTTGTAGTCGGCGAGCTGTCCTACTTTTTCAAAAACGAGTCCCGGGGAGGAGCGGCGTCGCGGAAACGAGAGTAGGTACATTTTGGGTATCGCTATATACAGGCATAAATACATGCGTCCCGACGATCGATTTTTTTCGCGAATCTCACCGAATCGAACTTCCGAAGCCGGTCGAGACGGTCGTCCCCTTACCGACGCGTTCGACCCCCCGCTCGGACGCCATTTGACGGACGTGGACGCCGCTTTCCAGTTTCGGGTGCACGGCGACGCGGCTTAATAGTCATAGATTTGACACGATATTTCATCTGAGTAGGTAGTCGATAGGTTAGGGCGCTAGGACATGTAACTAGGAGTCGTGGGTTCGATACCGTCCCCCGGCGATATCGAAGATTTGCGGCGGCCGTGATAATCTTGAGTTTTTTTTCGCGTTTTTTTTTTTCGTCTTTTCTCCATCAGTTCCGTATTATCATATTTAAATAGTCCCCCCTCATAGTCGGGGTACTTTTGACCCCCCCCCAATCAAATTTTTTTTGGCCGAGCATAACTTAGCCGGGGATCGTCGTAGCCGTATTTTGTAAACGGCTATGGGTTGTGGGTGACCACGTGCATACCATATCAAAAATTACCCCCCCCCCCTCCTTTTTTTGATTTAAGTATATCTCTGTCACGTTTTGACTTGGGTCCCCCGTTTTACCACCAAAATTTACGTTTCAAGACCCTCTAAATAGTCCCCCCATAGTCGGGGTACTTTTGACCCCTTCTCAAATTTTTCGGTGACAGTTATGAACGCCGTCCGCGATTCGACGCGATAATAATAGCTAACTTACATGTATGCATTGTCGTAGGTACCTATTAAATATATCACAGTTTGGTTGAGGTTGAGTTGTTGGTAATATTATGAATAACATATTGATATATATATATATATATATATTATGTGCTATTTATTATATACATGTATCTTTATACCTATTGATATATTTATATAATAACATTTTATAAAAATATATATATATTATACTATGTAGTAGGTACTTAATATATTGCAGTTTTTAGGTGAGTCAAATTATGTATATTAAAAATATAATCTAATGTGTTTAATTAAATTATATGACTATGCTATAACTATTTAATAAATAATAATAATAATAAATATTTAGTTAACACTGCTACAGATTATAAATACTATTTGATATAATAATTGAAATGATTAAATTCTGGTAGTTAAATTGTACAATTATTATAATATACCTAACTACTCTCTTTGATATTATTTATATGGATAGGTTTGATCGTTTGATGTAGTAGCTATTTAATATATAACTTAACGTATTTAAATATTACTATACTTATTAAACTATTTAATAAATAATAATAATAAATATTTAATTTACACTTGATTTTATCCAACGCACATATATGTTTCCTTTATACTTCAATAAACAATAGTGCAAGTACAATATAACTACTAACCTAGGTACATGTATACTTTGTAGTAGGTACCTACTTAATATATCACAGTTTGGTTGAGGTACGATACAAATACTGCTGCAGATAGTATATAATACTCTGATAGTTAAATTGTATTTGACATAATTTGTTATTGCTCAAAATATAGGTAGGTCTATAGTGTATATTAATTTAATTATGAGTTTCAAATTAATAAATTATGAATAACAAATTGATATATATATACATTATGTACTATTTATTATATAGATGTATGTTTATACCTAATGATATATTTATATAATTTAAGCATAATATTATGTATGTACAAAGTGAAATCAGTACATATTTTGGTCCATTGGTCTAAAAGTTTAAATGAAGTACTATTTACTATTAATTATATCATTGGTATTGGTTGGTATATAAAATATGTCTTTTTCTAATAGTTTGCATTGTGTGTTAAACGGTATAGTGTTATAATATATGAACTGGGCATATTGTAATATGTAAAAATTTAATTAGAAGAAGTAATAGTGAAATTGGTAAATAAGGTAGTTGGTCATAGGTTAGTACTCCATGAGTAGGTACATAACATTGATGGACTAATAGAGAGTAAC